AATCTATATTTTTCAAGTAAACATTTCCAAAATGGAAACATTTGTGTTTAATTGTTGCAGTAAAATTGGTGTTAGTTTAAACAGTTCTGCAAATAAGCTGATTGGAAGAAACACTCCAAAAATATTGCTATTGGGGAAAGGACAAAATGTCTTCTAAAAGTAGCTCCAGAGCTAAAATCTGTTTACAATGAACACAAATGTTAAAATATTGTTTTGATAATTAAACTGTCTCTTGTTTATAGACAAATACATTGTTGTGTGTATATATTTGATAGAAAGCAATTAGTAAATGGTGAGAAGGTAGCTCTCAGGCCTACAAGTTATATGTATCATTTGAAAGAAGGCCATGACCCAACTGGTAAGAGACTCACTCCAGGAGATTTTAGCTAATTGATTATGTACTTGCATTTTCCCAAAGCATGGACATGTAAATGAGGGCAAGTCCAACTAAATCAGTCATTCTTCATCTCAGCATCATGACATCCTTATGTGTCATAAACATTGGGAGGCCATCGAAACAAAGAGTATTAAAAGAGGTGAGCCTGGCCAATGTGGCTCGGTGGTTGAGCATCTGCCTATGAACCAGAATGTCACTGTTTGATTCCCAGTCAGGGCACATGCTGGGGTTTTGGCCTCAACCCCCAGTAGGGGTTGTGCAGGAGGCAGCCAATCAATGATTCTCATCATTGATGTTTCTATCTCTCTCTCCCCATCCCTTCCTCTCTCGGAAATAAATAAAAACTTTAAAAAAAAAGAATAGAGGTGAAACTCCCAGCCTGGACTTGAAGCAATATTTAGAAGCAGCAGCTTGTAATCTAAAAAATTAAATATACATACATATATATGTATATATATATACATACATATATATACATATATATGTATGTATATATAGAGAGAGATATAGATAGAGAGAGAAATAATTTTAAAGTGCTAACTTAAAGAAACAATACAAAAGATGTATCAACCCTGGCTAGTGTGGCTCAGTAGGTTGAGCATCGTCCACTGCACTGTAAGGTGGCCGATCTGATTCCTGGTGAGGGCACATGCCCAGGTTACAGGTTCAGTCTCCGGTTGGGTCGTGTACAGGAGGCAACCGATTGATGATTGATGTTTCTCTCTCTCTCTTTCTCTCCCTCTCCATTTCTCTCCAAAATCAATTTTAAAAATATTTTAAAAATAGATGTATTGCCGTGACCGGTTTGGCTCAGTGGATAGAGTGTCGGCCTGCGGACTGAAGGGTCCCGGGTTCGATTCCGGTTGGGGGCATGTACCTTGGTTGTGGGCACGTCCCCAGTGGGGAGTGTGCAGGAGGCAGTTGATCGATGTTTCTCTCTCATCGATATTTCTGACTCTCTATCTCTCTCCCTTCCTCTCTGTAAAAAAAAAATCAATAAAATATATTTAAAAAAAGAAATAGATGTATCAAATTCATTCTAGATTTCACTACAGTAGAACAGACAAAGGAGTAAAACTTTCTTCCCTTTTGTGCCTGTATATCTAATAAAGTAAAAGATTAACTCTTACTTAATGGACTTAAAGTTTTTATGAAGGAAGTGATTTAAAGCAGACCTTTAAAAATGACTAAAGTTTTTAAATGACTAAAATTTTAATTAATTCATTCAATGTATATTTATTGAATGCCTTCTAAGTACCAGACCCTGTGCTGGATGCTGAGTATGCACAATGAACCAAACAGAATTCCTGAGCTCATGGAGTTTATATTCTGGCAGAAGACAGGGGGAAAAGGAGACAAAGCTATAAAAGCAATAAACAGTAATGAGGTGGAGAAAAACAGTGACTACCTTAGTGGTAAGGGACATTTTTGAGGAATGAGTGAAATTTAAGCTGATATTTGAGTAGCCAAGGGATTCCAGATGAAGAAACAGCAAGTGCAAAGGCCCTGAGGCAGGAAATGAAAGAATGCCCAGGCAGATAGAGTGAAATGACAGTGAGGAAGGAGGCCTCATGACTGATCCAGGAGACATCATTCATATTCTACTCCCTGAAAAACCCAGCAGAGAAAAAAGCAGGAGATAAGATCAGAGAGACAGATAGGAATCAGATCATGCAGGGCCTTGAGAACATAGTAAGGAGTTTGGATTTCATTTTTATAGTTGTGGATAAAGGAAGGAAGGGAGGGAGGAAGGAAAGGAGGAGGAAGGAAGGAAGGAAGGAAGGAAGGAAGGAAGGAAGGAAGGAAAAGAAGAAAGGAAAGAAAGAAGAAACAAAGGAAGAAAGGAGGGAGGAACGGAGGGAGAAAAGAAAGGACTTTTAACAAATAGTTATATTGTTTTACCTTTTTAATATGGAAAATTTCAAGTATATAAGAAAGTAGGCAGAATCTATGTATATAAAAGCCTAAGCGACCGAACAACCGGTTGACCAGTCGCTATGATGCGCACTGACCACAGGAGCTCAACCCAGGAGCTGCCACCTGGTGGTCAGTGAACTCCTGCAACCAACCTCCCGCAGCAGGCCAACCTCCCACAGTCCCTCAGCCAGCTGACCCCGATTGGCCCTGATTGACCCCAATCGCCGGCCAGGCTGTAGGACCCCACCCATGCACGG